CAGGCAAGAAGAGCAAAGGGGAAGCAGGTGCCGCTAGAGACAGCTGTTCTCGGAAAGAACATTGTGAAACCACAGAGAAGCAGCGTGGGGCTCTCAGTGTAGGGGAATAAAAAGGAGATGGGGCGATACATTTGATAATATCAAAGCAGACGGGGAAGATTAACAGGAGAGCGCGCGGGGTCACCGGTCCACCCTGCGGGCCTGCAGCGGGACGGGATGGGGGCTCCAGTCCCGGCCGCACATGCGCTGCCTGGCGTCTGTGCAGAGTCACCGCACCACACAACCGTGCGTGGGGATTGGGCAGCAGCTACAGCCAGCCTGAGCTCTCAGATGCAGGGCGCCAGGTCTACAGGGGACTCAGCTTTGCGGCTGCGGACTTAACATCGCCCCCACCGGGCTGGGGAGGCAGCGGACCAAGCGGAGGCTCCTCTAAGTTGGACCTGGTGCCTAGGAGTCAAGTGCCCACCCCAAGTGCTCAAGGGAATCTGAACACGGGAATTGACTCGGGTGCTACAGGCTTTGACCTGGGAGGCTTTGGGCGACTGCTTTTGGGGGTACTAGGGGGTGCGGGGAGAACTCTGCAGTCCCATGGACACTGGAACAGACCTCTGTCCATGTGACTTGGCATCCTTGTGGTCCCAGAACAGCCTGCTACCTGCTGGGCCTTGACCCCGCCCTCCAGGTCAGATCAGCCCCGCCTGCACCCTAACCTTAACCCTGCACTGCCCTGCTCCCTGCTCTAGGCCTTGCTCAAAAGATATTAAATTGGAACTAACCCATGATCACACATGTGCACAGAGGGAAATAAAACTCAGTGGAAATCAACCAGGGGAGAAGGTGGGGGGAGAGGGGCAAAAACCTACCTAATGGGGTACAACAAAGACTATTTGGGTGATGGGCACACCTTTAGCTGGGACTCAAGCATTCCAACAGTGACCAATGTAACCTAAAACATTTGTGCACCCTTAATATTTTGAAATAAAATTAGAAAAAGAAGAAGTTAATTAAAAGAAGACTGCAAATTGTCAATAGTCATGTTTTCTGGAAGTTGCGACTATGGCTGATTTTTAAATTTCCTTTCTATTTGTTAAAATTTATTTTTAAACTAAGACACCATTCCTACAAATCCTATCTGTGTTTTTCAAAGTAATCTAGAATCATGTGTCACTTTTGCAATCTTAGAGAAATGTTTACTTTTAAAAGGGAAAAATATTTGCCCCTGACAAACTGAAGAAAATGGAATCTCCTGGCAGGTCCCCAAAACTCTAAACTCTACCCAAAACTGTCTTTGCTCAATGCCACAGACCTCACTTGAACTTTGTATATTGAATCATACTTAATTCCTGGAATAAATCCCAAAGCAGTCCTACAAGTATTCTTTTTCATTTTGCTATTCACGATTAACTCTTACTTTTCCTCTGTAATGATGACATATTTCGATTGACATCTCCTGACTCTAGCTGGGTTGCCTTTCCTGGACGGCACCACCTTTTCTTGTGAGTCCTGAAACCAGAATTTTTTTGTCAGCCTTTGGGTGTCAGCCTTGTAACACTCCTGGGCTCCCAATTGGCCCGTGTGGACATGGT